TCAACTGTTTTAAGTTCATTAACCATGTTTTTTAATTTTCCAAAGGAAAACGGCTCCTTTGGGTTCTTTTTCAAATTGTCCTATACTCTTTCCTAAAGGTCCTGCATGTTCAATTTGGCTTCTATTCCTTCTCTTTTATATCTTTTAATTAAGTAATTAAAACCCCTTATCTGTAGCCTCTTTCACAGTGTTGCTATTATCTCTCATCCTCTGGATACCAATTCTCCTAACTGTCCTGTTTTGCCCAGTCTCTCTGATGGCGGTGGTTCTTTTCTTCATGTGATTGGATGGTACACAAAGGGGATACAATTCACTGAATTGTGAGTGGGAAAAGATTATGATCAATTGTATTGTCAGTCTAGTTGTCTTTTTTGTACAAAGGCAACAATTACTGGCCCAGGACTCAGACCATCCATGTGCCCCTCGTTTTTACAATTGTACTAAATTATACACCAGCTAATTATGAGATAAACAAAAATAGTAACTCGGAGTCTATAAGAAAGGAGGGAAAATCAACAACGATGTTCCTTTTTGCTCCTGGGAAGCTATTCTGAGGCTGTACTCTAATGCAGGCTGGGGGGCGGGGGGGGGGTGAGAGGTAGCTCAGGGCTGCACACTGGAATCAGAGCATCTGCCTAGTGTGCCCCGGGCTCTGGGTTCAATCCCACCACCCCAAAAATAAATGCAGTAAGATACAATGTAGACAAAGAGCTATGCACAGTTACTAATAAGAGAAAGAAATGAAAACAACTTAAATGTCCTACATTAGTAAGGTATCCACATGACAGATATCACTGAGAAAGTTGACAAAGAGTTCTTAATTACACTGGGAAATACTTATGATGGAATGTTAATTTTAAAACACACGTTCAATAATATAAAGAAAAAAGACAGAAAAAAAGGTTGGAAATAAATATGGCCAAATGTTAACAGTGGTTGTTTCCGGATTGTAAGATGATGGTTTTTTTTATTTTTGTTTTTGTTTTTTCGTGGGATGTGTATTTATTTTTCTTTTTGGCAGCACTGGGGTTTGAACTCAGGGCTTCGCACTTGTAAAGCAGGCACTCTACCACTTGAGCAACACCCCCAGTCCATTTTGCCCTGGTTATTTCGGAGATGAGGTTTTCGCGAACTATTTGCCCAGGCTGACCTAGAACTGCGATCCTCCCAATCTCAGCCTTTCAAGCAGCTAGGATTCCAGGCTTGAGCCACCGGTGCCTGGCGGGTATGTATTTCTTTCTGCTTTCCTACCCATTGTAAATGTTCCTCAATAATCAACATTAATTTTACAATCTGAAAAGACTAAAATGTATATATTTAAGAAAATAAAAACTACTAAAGTTAGCAACAGACAAGAACTTAGATATCTGAGCAATATTAAATATGAAAAATAAAACACCATGCTACTGGCTCTGACATTACAATCTATAATTTGTTTTCGACACAATTTGAAAGAAGGAGGTCAGATTCTGTCATTCCTGTGTTCGACACCCTCCAAGATCTCCTCAGTTCGTTGAGTATAAAAGCCAAAGTCCCTATAATGGTCCACAGGACCACCATGATCTGACCTGCCCACATGCCTCTGATGTCCTCTCCCTTGCTGTTTCCTTACCGTTACTCAAACTCACCAAACACACACCTGCCTCAGGCCCTTTGCACATGCTATAACCCTAGTGGCAGATGTTTTCCCTTCTCATAGCTAAATGGTTTGTCTCAGATCTCTGCTCAAAGCCCCTCCATACCTCCCACATAAAATAGTATCCACCCCACTGCTCCCAGGACCCCTTCTCCACTTTGCCCTGAGAAGTTTACCACCATCTGGGAGGGTGCAGATATTTGAGGTCTTTCTCCCACTAGAAAAGCTGACTTGCCTGGCACATAGAAGATGCCCAATAAACATGTGCTGAATGCCTGAATGAGTAAAGGCAATAGACTGTAAACTCCTTAGGAGCAGAAGGACTGATGCTCATATTGCTGCCTCGTTCAAGTGCATAAAACAGGCAGCAACGCCAACCTGACAGCCCTGGGAACATTTCCCCAGCCTCCAACTCACGCCAGAAAAGCCATTTGCAATTACAGCCGGCACTGGTGGCAGTGAAAGGAAGATATAAGGGCTTGGCAGAGTAGCATGAGGGTCCCCATCAGAAAACCAAGTTCTGCCATTAGGATTTGCCTTTTGCTGCAGGACTGAACTCCAAACTCTTATCAGTCTCAGAACCAAGCTATGCATGGTACTTAAAAATCTGACATTCTAAATGCCCTTTTTATTTAGCTATCTCTGTTATGAGGAGACAATTTTTTAAGAGAAAAAGGCATCAGGAAACCCACTACCTTGCCCCTCCCACATCAAAAGCAGACAGGAAATTCTAGCACCTGGGTATGGCACCCACGGACCACGTGCATGGTCACAGCCCTAGCTAAGCCTGCAACATGTCCACAGTGTGGCTGGCTCTATAGAGAGGAAGATTCGCCATCTTGCTAAGCTGTATCAGCTCCTGAAAATTCAAGGACAAACTGACAGCATAACGTACAGCTTCATATTCTTTGCCTTAGGAAAGATAAGAAAATTCATCCGAAGCTATTTCAGACTTTTCTGGGCCCAGGGGCCCTCTGGAGATTAGAACGAGCTGGTGGAGGCCCTCCTATGTGGGAGGTCAGGACTATTAAGTAGTAGGAAGGGAACTCGTGATGGGGTGGACAGGGCAGCGGCCTCCCAGCAGTGCTTAGGTTGATGGAATCTGCCTTTTATTCCCTCCACTTTTCTTTCCTTGACCTCTAACCTCCCTGTGCCCATCATGTCATCTGGCTCAGGTGTCTCCTGAGGAATTCCCCCCTTAGGATATTGAACATCTGAATGTTGGAAGGAATCCCCTGAGGATAGAAGGACCTCAGTTCAAAGATGGAACTCTGGCGGGAGGAAGGGAAACCTCTAATATTTATGGAATGCTATGATGCTTTGTACATTTTATTGAACTTATGGAATTTCCACAGCAGCTTTGTGAAGGGGACATTACCATTGCCATTTGGATGAGGAATGAGGGACCTCCAGGTAGGACTGAATGCTAGTTCACGCTTTGAGGCCCTGCCTTCTTTCTTCTGAAGACACAGAAATGACAGGTGGAAATATTTTAAAAATAAGAAGAGGTAGCCAGGCACTGGTGGCTCACGCCTGTAATCCTAGTTACTCAGGAGGATCACAGTTCAAAGCTAACTCTGGACAAATAGTTCTCAAGACCCTATTTCGAAAATACCCAACACAAAAAAGGGCAGCTGGTGGAGTGGCTCAAGTAGTAGAGTGCTTGCCTAGTAAGCATGAGACCCTGAGTTCAAATCCCAGTACTGCCAAAAAAAAAAAAGAGAAAAGAACAAGTAAACTTATTTGTGTTAAAAAACTGATATATATCTATATAGAGATATATAGAGATATAGATACAGATCAGTGGGTCAGAAACTCAAAGTATTTGGTTTTTTTTTTTTTGGAGACAGGGTCTCCTCTATGTATCCCAGGCTAGCCTTGAACTCATGACCCTCTTGCCCTGACTCAGGCACTGCTCCCACTATCCCAAGTGCTTGGGGCTTGGGACTACAGGCATGTGCCACTACACCTGCCTACTTACTATTTTGAGGGATTAAACGTACTGCCTGTGATGCTCTGGGCTCAGAAGCAGTTGGCAGCAGCAGGGAGACTGGTCTAACTGGATATGGAGACTTACAGTGTCCCACAGGAGATAAGGGAACCAGAGCCAAGTCACTAAAAATGGGGCTAGTGAGGGGGTTTTGCCACCTGGGGAAGGAGTCTGAAAATAGCAGGGACTGGCCCCAGCACAGGAGAGCTTATGAGAAAGTGGGTTCAGAGGAAAGCAGGCAGCTGCCCACACAGCAGGGCAGAGCCAGGCTCCCAGCCTTCGGGAATAATCCTATCATCACTGTGGACGAGCAGCTCGCCATGAGCCCAGGACACCTGGCTGTGCCCCAGGGAACCCAGCACCCTGGTGGAGGTTACTGAAACACCACTCAGAAAGGAGAGCAGCTGGGAGCTATGCAAGGTGGATTGAGAAGTTTTAAATAAATGTACAATTTCCAGAAGAAGAGAGATGGATGGCAGAACAGAAATACTCAAAGACATTAAAGCTGAGTTTTTCTAGAACTGAAAACATTGTATAGATCCTTATGTGAAAAGCATGTGCCAAATGCCCAGCAAAATAAATAAAAACAGACAGATATATGGAGAGCAGGCACAGCTCTCTGTGCTTGTGGAGCTCTTTTTTTCCCCACTCTGCGTCCCCACGGCCTCCCTACAAGTCACCTGCCTTGGCCTGCTGTTTGACTCCATTCCAATCTTGGGGCAGTGAGGAGGCCCTGGACTTGGCATTAGGAGACACAGTCTAGGCACTATCTCACCCATCTGCTACTGCCTCAGGGTCCTCACTGACCCTTGATTTCCTCCCCCTCAAATGGGGCCAACCTGGAGTGACAAAGCCCTAGAACCAGGAGGGAGTTTGGGGGTGGTAGCATCACAACAGGCTATGGTAGCACTTAGTTTCCAGCACCCTCCATCCCCCAATGGCTTGGTGTCTACAAATCACTTAGCCTCTGAGTCTGTTTCCCCACCATGGGGTGTGGAGGAAGAAGGCGAATGAATAGATGGAAGGAACAGAGCACACTGCCAAGCACTTCGGTTTGATCCAGGGTAGGAACCACTATCACTATAGTAACAGCCCCCCGAGTGCCACACACACACACACTCACTCACAGGGAAGGGCTTCCCATCAAAACTATGGACCCCACAGGCAGGCACAGAACAGGGCCCACTGTCACCTCTGCATGGGGGAGATGGGTAAGCCAGTAGAGTGTCCTTCCCCACTCTTCTCCCCTGGACATCCCTGGATAGTCCCTCCTTGACCTCCAGAGAACCCCTGCCAGTGTCCAGCTGTGTATCCCCCATATGTGAGTGTGCCTCCTGCCCACCCCAGCCCACCCCTCCCCACCTGGGCCCCTACCTCTCTTTGCTCACTGCAGATCTTACATAGCCACAGGGGCCGCTTCTGGCCAGGGGAGACCTCGATCCCACATTTGGTGCAGACTTTCTACAAGAGAGAGGGCACAGGTGTGTCAATACTTTAGCTGCTTCCTCCTCAGCTGGTGGACAGGGACAGTAGTGACCAAGGGACACTTCAGCATCTTCTGAGGGGATGGCTTTTCCTTCAGGCTTCAAGGGCAGATTCCCCCAACAGGCACAGATAATCTAGAAATCATTGGCTGGCTTTGGGCACAGCAGGTGTACCCCAGCCACAGATTTCCATGTTATAGATCCACCTCCCATAATTCTGTCCTTTTAAGACCACATTAAAAAAAAAAAAGCAAGCTTGCCAATCTTCACAGCTGCAAAAAAACTGGAAACAACCCAAATGCCCAGTACCAGGGAAGATGCAGAAAAAACACGACTGAAGGTGATGTGGCCTACGTGGAAATACGGGCAGGAAGTACTGCCCTCCAGCAGAGAAAGCACACATCCGTGTACAATCACACAACATATACCCATGCCCAATGGGTTAGGGGGACTACAATACCAGTGACAGCTTGAGCACCAATTCTGTGCCAAGTCCCTTTGCTTAATGATCTCAGGATCTCCATTGTGCTAGTGTGGGGTCCATTTTATAGGGAAATTGGAGCGTGGAAGAGTTTGAGAATTTACCCAAGATCAAGGGGCAAGTGAGGACCAGGCTCCCAGCTGACTCTGGAGCTATTCTATCGTTTCTTCTGGACACACAGGCAGCCAGAATGTAGACTGTTTTACCTCCACAGAGTTGTTTAAGCTCCTAACTTCCAAACACATAATTTGCTTCCTTTAGAGGCACAGCAACAAGCAGTGGTGAGAAACCAGGATAAACACACGGGGAGGTGGAGGTGGGCTGGGGGCTCAGACTGGTTCAGGGTACAAGGATGGAAGCTCCTGGAGGGAGGGGACTCATCACCTTGAGTCCCTGTGGGGGTGGGGTGCTCTCCAGCTTCCTGCAGAGGGAAGGCTGAATCTGTTGCTTGGCTTTTTCTGTAGGCTGCCAACTGAGCAAGGAGCGCACCTCTCCGAAGAGAGGGAAATGTCACCAACTTGGCTTCCCAAAGCATGTGTCACTATCCTGATTGGGTGGCTGAGCTGGGCTCTATAGGAGGGGAGGGAACACACAGGAGGGAAGCTATGACACATTTGTGGGGGCATGGATTGGCCACCATCCGAGTTCAGGTGTGAGAAATGTCACTTCCCTGTTTCTCCAAATAACCGAGATCTGCCCCAAGCTCCTGGTCCTCTGGACTGGCAGGGAAGTCCCTCTTGGGTCACCATAGGGACCTCCTGCCTGCTCCCTGGAAGGTCCTCGTGTTGAGGTCTTTGGTGGTTGAGCACATCTGGGGTCACCATCCACTGCAATCAAGCTGGCCTTCTTAGTGCTCACAGTCCCTAAAAGGTGGGGTGGTCACCTTAGTGTCGGTCCTGGGTTTAGGATCTTTGCCAAAAGCTGAGGGTGACCCTCCCCAAGGACCAGTAGTCTACATCCCTCTAAGCTGTCATCCTACCCTTCCCCTTATCGCTCCCACCTCTCACCCCCATCCTGCCCCCTCTGGGGAGGACCAGACATTGGCAGCAAGGTGGGCCTCACAACAACAGGAAAAGGGGAGAGGAAGGTGGTGCTGAAGCCAGCTGGCTTTGTCTTCCCTGCTTTTTCCCACTACGTTCTGTGGCATGTGCGAAGGTGGGTGAGGCCCTCAGAGAGGCCAGCTTTTCCTGCTGCATTATTCACATACTTACGAAGTTTGCTAACAGCTCACCCTAAAACACAGAGTGCTCTGCCCTCCCAATGCCATTAAATGAGACTGTGGAAAATCAATCTCATGAAGGAATGAAACATCAGTGGATACCATCTATTGAGTCACTGTGTGTGCCAGGCCCAGCAGTTGTGGCCACAGAAAATGAAGGAGGTAGGTGTTAGGATCCCCATAAACAGATGGAGAAATGGAGGCTCCAATGTCACACAGCTAGATAGGGACAAAACAAGGTCTTCTGCAAGAGCTCAGGAGAGAGACTGCACCCTCCCCCCCTCCCCACCCCACACAAGTTGTGAAGTGATTCTGCTCGGAGCTGGTTCTGCTCAGGCAGGCCCCTGGGAGAATGACTCAAGACTCAAATGACTGGGCAAAGAAGGCGACACGGGATGACAAGGCCTTACTGGGATTTGGGGTGCAGCTGGCACACCCTCACACACTCCTTGGCCAGAGTCTGACTCTGCCCTGAGCCCTCTCAAGAAGGGAAGAGAAAGGTTTCTAGCCACACACAGGAAATCTAGGCCAATCGACCTCAGGCCTCAAGACACCAGCAGGCCTTCCCACAGCCTGACAGCCATTTTCCCCTTCATGCCAGCCAAGGGGACGGGACTGGGCAGCCTTGGTCCCTCTCTGGATCACCTCCACCTGCTGTAATGAAAATAGCCTGACTGGGTGGCTGAGAGGACAGAAACTTCTTTCTCACAGCCTGGAGGCCTGAAGCCACAGCTCAGGGCACCTTTCTCTCTCACTTTGTGCACTGTCCCACTCCGGCCCCTGCCATCCTGCCCTCTGTCATCACCCTCATGTTCCTAAGTTCTGCTCTCAGCTCCTGCACAGGTGGGGTGGCTTGGTGCTGGGGCACAGGGTTTGATTGAGGCCAGGCCTAGGTGGGCCCTTGGGTATGCTACCCCAAACCCCTCTAAGCTTCAGCTGGCTAGTCTTGTCTGTAAAATGGGATAATATTTATCCTCTAAAGTTGCTTTGAGGATTAACTGAGATATACAATAAAGGCTACCTGCACATAGAAATCACTCAATAAATGCCAGTTGTTGTCACCATTAGTGTCACACCCCGATCTAAAACCTTCATGATTAACCTCCACACCTGCACTGGCTAGCACAGTAGGCACCAGCACAAGTGGTAATTTAAAGTGACAATCAGGGGCTAGGGGCACAGCTCAGTGGTAGAGCACTTGCTTAGCATGCGTGAGGCCCTGGGTTCAATCCCCAGCACCTCAAAATAATAACAACGACAATTCAATCAAATAAAGCAATTTCTTAGACTCACTGAGTTCATTTCAGTTTTTCAATTGGTGGCTAGGCTGGGATAGCACAGAAATGACATTTTCATTATGTCCCACAGGCTACAGAGCCCAGACTTCAGCCTCCTCACACAGCGCTCACAGTTGGCCTCCACAGCTTATTTCTAAGGCTCCCACGATGCTCTCATCAGATGTGTGTGCTCCCAGGCTAACCTGCATCTGCCTATCCCATCTCTACCGCCCATCCGATGCTTCCAAGCCTTCCCATTTGCTCATCCAGGTGATCACTGCCTGTGGGGCACCATGCGGAGCACAGGCCTGGGCTAGAAGATGCAGATGACTAGGGCAGGGCCCCAGCCTCACTATAGCTCACTTGGAGGTCACCCTGCCAAGGCTAAGGGGTGCTGGGCAGCATGGTTTTGAAGGATTAGCATACAAACACCCTTGAGTAATACCATCTAAGAGAATAAATATCTACACGTTTGGGGGCAAGGAACAAAATGAGGAAAGAATTCACAAAAAGCTGGGTGTGGTGGTACATCCCTATAATCCCAGCTACACAGGAGATGGAAGCATGAGTTCAAGGCCAGTGGGGCAAAGGTAGTGGGGAGACCCAGTCTTAAAAACAAAAACAAACAAGGGTTGGAGCATAGCTGTAGTGACAGAGAGCTTGCCTAGCATGTGCAGTGCTCTGGGTTCAGTCCTCAGTACTGCACCTACAACAAGACGACTGTCCTATCCTCCAACCCAGACCCAGAGACACAGAGCTGCCAGCCTGGGGACAGGAGCAACATGGACCAGTCTCCCCTTCTAAAGGTGAGGTTCAAGGCTGTTGATCATCTCCAGTCTAGGGTGGAAGAGGGACAGATGGCCTGTCTGTGCTGGGGTGGGGAACCCACCCAGCCCAGTGCTGCTGGTCTCCAGGTTCCAGTAAGGGCTGTGTGACCTTAGGCAGAAAGGGCAGCAGCGCGGTTTCTGTCAAATGTTCCCTCCACCCCTTGCTTTTCGGGGTGCTGTCAGGGGTCAGGAAGATGGCGTGGCAGAGCACACCCACCCCTGGGTGTGCGTAGATAATCAGGCTACAGCCATCATTGTAGGAAGCCACAGCCAGGCCCTGCCATATCTCAGTCATCTTCATGTGCGTGGCTGGCAGAGGGACATGAAGGCTCCTAAGAGGCAAGGCCCACAAAAAAAAACACGCTCCAGCTCAAATAACACACAACTGCTGCTCTATTAAATCTCAGATCAATGAGAGAATAATGCGCCTTTCTCCTCATGGACTTCATCTTTGTTTTCAGCTTCCCATGCAGAAAATTAAGCAGCTGATAGTTTAAAAAGTGTGCTTAGGAGAGGGTGAGCCAGCCTCTCCACCTCACAACCAACCATCCCCTCACTCTTGGGGAGAACGTGGGACCCAGCCTGTAGTCACCTGCTGGCTGCAGGTTGGGCTTCCTGTGAGCAGGACTGCCCTGGACAAGGGCCTTCCTGCTACCTCCTGCAGCCTGGAATCATATCTGAGCACTACCTGAACCACGCCTTGCTTCTGGGCTGGACTCAGAGCCGAAGTTTTGTCACTCTTGTCTCAATTCTTCCATTCATCCCTTTGCAAAGGTATGTCGCAGCCTGGAGAGTACAAGGAAGGGGCTACCACAGGACACATGCTTCAGGCAGGGTGGAGCCTAGCGTGCCATTTAGAGGCAACCTTGAACTTGGCACCTTCCCAGGAGCCTCCTTTCCTCATCTGTCCATCAGTTACCACAGGGAGCCTATGCCATAGTTAAGAGGATAAGGGAGGAGATTCGTGAAAGTGCTTAGTGCCACACCTGGTAAAGCCTTTTGTCAGCATGTCTCTCTCAAAGGACACCAGGTGTACAGTCCCAAGCCAGCTATTCCCCCTCATTCCCACTCTCCCGCACCCCCACCCACACGATCCATCTCTAAGAGCTCCAAGTAACTCTCAAACCTGGCAACTCCCTCACCCCTCCCTGATCCACACTGCCACCCTGTTCC